GAGCATGCCAGGAGCAGAGTTCTGATTGGTTATTGTCTCTGGCTTGCTTCTGGGAGAAATGGTTTTAGCTGCCATTTTCAGCTCAGAGAGTGAAGAGAGTGCTGACTGGAAACAGCCAGGAAGGTAATAGCTGCCAACTCTCTGAAGCCTGTCATTTATAAGGCATGAAACATATTTTAAAGACTGTTTAAAATGACTGTTTATTCCCTCTGTTCTCTGTGTGAATTCAGAGACTGCTGTATATATTGTTGCCTTGTTTGATCTTTTGAACAGAAGTAAAGATACTGTTATTTCTTACACAAGCCCGAGTGACACTTTATTATATTGCAGGGTATATTTTGGGTCAGTAACTGTGTCAAAGCTTCTGTTTATTTACATTTACAACCTCCAACAATCCTGATGTAATTGGGATTTACCTGCCTTGTGTGACAAAGACCTGTATCTTCTTTAGATTAAGAGATGGAAGCAATGCTTAAATCTTTCATGTGGCCTCAGTATCCCAAACATACATAGCTAGAAGCTTCTTCCACCAACCTGAGGCTCCTTCCACACAGCTATATAAAATCTACATTGAACGGGATTAAATGCCAGTGTGGACTCAAATAACCCAGCTCAAAGCAGATATTGTGGAATATCTGCCATGATATTCTGGGTTATATATATGGCTGTATGGAAGAGCCCTGAGAAACCGAAAACCTGCTTTTTTTTCTTTTAACATACATGGGAAAACAAGTTGCAATTCTTCTTCAAGTTTGTACAAGTATGCCTGATTTTGTCAGTGACAAGTACAACTGGGTTCTTCCCACTGACTGAATTGGCAAAACAACTCTGTCAGGCGTCAGCCTATGATTGCCAGTTTGCCACACACCTTGATGGCTCGTTCTACTTTTCCCTAGGACTGCAATGCCTTATGGGGGATATGACAAGGCAGCCAAGCTGATGACTTTCCAAATGCCTGAATTCGATGCTGGTCCTCCGGTACCTGAACCAGTTGTGGTGATTAATCAGGAAGTCACCAACAGACCATCTTTCAATAGGACCCCAGTGCCTTGGCTGGGATCAGGAGAACCCGGTGAATACACCATTGAGGTGAATGTGCCACTGGCAGGTGAAACCGAGGAGTTATAGAACCTCTACAACTCTTTTCCAACATCAATCTTCACTTGCAACTCCTTTACAAGGAATTGAAAAAGTCAGAGATTCTTTGTACTTGCCCTTTTAAAACAGTTGAAGTCCCACTAGATTCTAACATATCTTTGCTGTGGTATGTGTCCATATCAGAGGAGGAGAAACAAAGCACTAAAGTAGGAAGGGAGGGATGGAAGGAGAGAGAAAGAGAGAAATGAGAGAGATAAATGGCTTATGTATTCACCCTCCAAGACAACAACAAAAAGAGAGCTGTAGGATGTTTAAAGATAACTAAATGCTGCCTGCCTGTTCTGCACTGAGTCTGACCCTATCCTGTTGTTGACAAAAACAAATAAAGCATCTAGAAAAAAAGAAGTGCAGTTTCTCTCGTCTTTTTTACGTTTAATGTCAAGAGAAAACTTTTACCATTACACGCTTTATTAGGCTATGATAGAATAATATGGAACGTGAAGCCATTGCTTAAAATTCAAGGAGTCACTTAGTCTGTAATCCTATGCCTAAAGTAAGTCCCATAAAATTTAACAGGACTTACTTCTGAGCAGATACACCCAGGGCTGTGTAATTGGTAATGTAAGACACAGAAATGTATATGAAAACATTTGTGCTGGAAGACATTCAAGCATTTGCCACCTAACAATTGCTAAAGATGGTCAGAGGTTTCTTTCTAGGTAAGTGATATGTCTGTTCATATGATTCTACTGGCTACTGCCCAAACCAGTCAGGTACATTAGTGCCATCATTGCCAGAGCTTGTAAACACAGTCATGTCCGACTCTGGGGGTTGATGTTCATCTCCATTTCTAAGCCGAAGGGCCAGCATTGTCTGTAGACACCTCCAAGGTCATGTGGCTGGCATGACTGCATGGAGTGCTGTTACCTTCCCGCCGGAGCAGTACCTATTGATCTACTCACATTTGCATTTTTTCAAACTGGTAGGTTGGCAGAAGATGGGGCTAACCCAGCTCTCCAGATTTGAGCCTGCGAACTTTCGGTAAGCAAGTTCAGCAGCTCAGTGGTTTAACCCATGGCACCACCAGGGACTCCCCTCAGAAGATAACATCTAGTAATATGACCCACTGATTCCAGCTTCGTTATGCAAATTTTTAAAGCTAGAAACATTTTGTGGTGGGAAATGGGATTAAACAACCCAAAATTGTCATTAAATTAATGATATTAAAGGAAAAGAGATTTAAAGATGGGCTCAAAGCCAACCTTAAAAATTTGGCATAGACACCGAGAACTGGGAAGCCCTGGCCCTTGAGCACGCTAGCTGGAGGTCAGCTGTGACCAGCAGTGTTGTAGAATTTGAAGAGGCACACATGGAGGGCGAAAGAAAGAAATGTGGCAAGAGGAAGGCGCATTAAGCCAACCCCGACCGGGACCACCTTCCACCTGAAAACTAATGCCCTCACTGAGGGAGAACATGCGGGTCAAGAATAGGGCTCCACAGTCACCTATGTACCCACCACCAGGACACTGCATTTGGAGGACAATCTTACTTGGACCACAAAGGATCGCCTAAGTAAGTAAGCATCCAATCGTTTTGAGCAGAAATTCTGTACCAGACATTCTTTCTGGACTGAAAGTAATACACCTCTGTTCCTGTTACCTTCAAACCCAGCTTGCATGTTGATCTGGTCTTCAAGGTAGCGGGGTGTGCCAGGCACCAGACTCTCATCCTATTACTTTAGCAAGTAGCTGAATCTCAGTTTCATTACCTCTGTAGTCAGATAAAATGGTCTGGTAGGAATTAAAAGAATATAATGTTTTACCTAAGATTGTATGATTATTCACTTGAATTGAGTTAAGATAAGGCACGAAAGGAAAGCAATGCTTGGTAAATTAATTTTTCATCTAGCACTGTTCCTTTCATATAGGATTTTAGGGGGGAGGGGTTGCCTTATGTCCCAAAGTAACGTGGCTAGTTCTGGACTCTTTGATTTTGATATCTGGTGCTATTCAAGTAAGCTGGTCCTACCTGTTTGTGTAGATAGGTATCTCTAGTTGAAAGACAAATTATTCTTATGAATTATTATGACTAGTTACAGGAAGTAAATCAATGGGACACCCACCAGCTCTGCAAGGATTTTATCAGATCAATCCAAACTGCTCAGAGATGCCACGCAAATTCAATTACAGTGAATATTAGCACACTGCCTGAGTCAAATTCCACAGTGCCTACTGGGTGAGTAATTACTTCCACATACTATTGTAAACACACAAACATCTTCCAATAACCCTGAAGCAAGTACAGACCTGGGGCTTTCTTGCATGTCTTCTCCCTTATACTTGGAATAACTATTTTGGATCCCCCAGAGATCCTGGAGGCATCTTCTTCTTGGCGTCTTCCATTCTTTAATGGGTCAGTGCACAAATGCAGAGGGAAATAAGTACTATGATAAAAAGGAAACTCTTGGGAAATTGGCTGCTTTATTTGTCATTTTCAAATATATATATATTTCTGCTTCAAAATGCAATTCAGAGATGGTACTAAGAAAACCCTATGCTTATGAAGGCAAGAATAAAACAAAATGTATTTGTTGCCTAAGAAAACCTTATGCAATTAATAGATTTATAGTAAGTTGATAGGAAACTTGAAGCCACATACACATCTGAATGAAGCTTGTGCTGCCCTCTATGGGTACTTCTGATTATTTATCTACTGGTAAATTAAACCGGTGGGTTAAATAGAGCAGACACTTGATATCTGCTGTGGTTTGGTTGCAGGATCCCACATGGATATCCAAATCTGTGCATATTTAAGTCCCATTATATATAATGGCACAATGAAATAGAGTTAATTATCAAGGCTTACTTATTATTATTATTATTATTATTATTATTATTATTATTACTATTATTACTATTATTATTATTATTATCTAAAATCTTTTCTAGCTATGGATAGTTAAATCCATGAATACATGGGGCACTAGATAATGTTTGATCTTGGAAGTTAAGCAGGGTCAAGCTGCTTAGCTTCCAAGCATTGCTTTCCTTTCATGCCTTCTGGACTTCGTTTTCTTTGCAGGATAGGATGATGATGATCATGGTGTGGAGTTCTGCTAGAACATTGCAATTTCAAATTGGGTCCATCTTTTGAAAACGCCCCTTATTATCAGCCTTGCAGAAAAACAAAAACAGATAATCAGATTTTTATGCCTCACAGTTGTCACAAAATAGGGAGAGAAATCTTATTTGAAGGTCTAGAGAAACTTCTTGGTTTGTAATTTGATTTATTCTTAGAAATCATTTCCTCAAATCCAGAAGCATTGGGACACTTCTATTACATGTGGGAACAGGTAGCCAGTGATCTGCAGTTTTCCAGAGTTAGAGGAATATTTTCAAAGAGGAGAGAGGGCAACCAATGATTATCTGCAGTGTTGGTGACCCTTTGGAGCGCCTTCCTTTCTGGCACTGTGCAGTTACCAAGCCATGTGCAGATGCAGTAGGTTAGGACACTCTCTATAGCACAGCAGTAGAAAGTCACCAGCAGCTTTTCATTCATAACCTCATAACCTCTGAGGATGCTTGCCACAGATGCAGACGAAACGTCAGGAGAGAATGCTTCTAGAATATGGCCATACAACCCAAAAAAACCTACAACCCAGTTTTTCATTCAGTTGCTGTTTCTTAGAAGTCTCAATAGTACAGGCTCTGCTGGGCCCTCTGAACCAATGCTGCTGTATGAGTGCCTCAGGTCAGACTCAACACAGAGCCCTGTGGTGTCCCAGTGTTGAGAGTGAGGGTAAAGAGGTATGGTGACCTAATTTAACCCTATGGCAATGTCCAGAGTGACAAGAAGTCCATAATCCAGGAACAGACTGACTATGACAATCCACATGACAATCTACAGCAGGCATTGGCAAACTCCGGCCCTCCAGGTGTTTTGGACTCCAACTCCCACAAATTCTAACAGCCTACCAGAGGTTAGGAACTGTAGAAGTTGAAGTCCAAAACACCTGAAGGACCCAAGTTAGCTCATGCCTGATGTACACTGTAGAATGAATGCCTATCCCCTGCGCTACCCTCCTTCAGAAAGCTATTGAAAACTTACCTATGCTTCCAGGCATATCTGAAGATCCGGCTTGCTAAATAAGGATTGGGTTGCTGTGAGTTTTCAGGGTTGTATAGCCATGTTCCAGAAGCATTCTCTCCTGACATTTTGCCCACATCTATGGCAGACATCCTCAGAGGTTGAGTGGTTTGTTCGAAACAAGTCAAGTGAGGTTTATATATCTGTGTAATGTCCAGGGTGAAAGAAATAACTTATTTCCTCTGGGTGGATCTTTGTCTTTACTTTCTTGCAGCTCTTCTGATGCTTATGGTGGAATATACTCAGGCAGCAAACAGCCAGGCTTTGAAGCTGCAAGACCATTAAATGATAATAAAGTTGGTTATTTGCAACATTCACACTTGCCTCAAGCAGATAAGAGTTCTATCTTCCACCCTGGACATTCCACAGATATATAAACTTCACTTGTTTCCAACAGACCCCTCAACCTAAAAGGATGCCTGCCATAGATGTAGGCAAAAGGTCAGGAGAGAATGCTTCTGGAACATGGCCATACAGCCTGGAAAACTCACAGCAACCCAGTGATTCTAGCCATGAAAGCTTTTGACAAACAGTTCTGCCCCTTTATCTCACCCTGAATATTTTAAATCATTTTATGTACATGTGGCCCACTCTCTGTTATTATGTTTGGTTCCTATGTTTTGTGTATATTGTTTATATGCTTTGATGTTTTATACTTTATTGTTATGTTGTTTATTTTACTGCAGTTTGTATTTTTGTATTGTAATTTGTTGTCTCCCATTGGGGGAGATGGTGGCGGGGTATAAGTAAAGTTTATTATTATTATTATTATTATTATTATTATTATATTATACTGTTTGTTTACTTTATTATTTCATATTGTAAGGCGCCTGAGTCCCCATGGGGAGGTGGAGCAGGATTTTTTAAAATTATTATTATTACTAGCCGTCCCCTGCCATGTGTTGCTGTGACCCAGTCTGGTGATCTGGAAAATAAATATGAGAAAGTGTTGGTTTCTAATATATGTAATTTCTTTATGATTGTGGGTAAACAGTATTTGATTTTCTTGGGAGTAGGACTGGATGGCCTTAAGTATTTTCTATTGGTCATAGGGATTCTGTGTGGGAAGTTTGCCCCAATTCTATCGTTTATGGGCTTCAGAATGCTCTTTGATTGTAGGTGAACTATAAATCCCAGTAACTACAACTCCCAAATGTCAAGGTCTATTTTTCCCAAGCAATATTCACACATTTGGGCATATTTTGTATTTGTGCCAAGTTTGGTCCAGATCCATCATTGTTTGAGTCCACAGTGCTCTCTGGATGTAGGTGAACTACAAACTCCAAAACTCAAGGTCAATGCACACAAAACCCTTCCAGTATTTTCTGTTGGTCATGGGAGTTCTGTGTGCTAAGTTTGGTTTGATTTCATTGTTCGTGGAATTCAGACTGCTCTTTGATTGTAGGTTAATTATAAAATCCCAGCAACAACTCTCAAATGACTAAATTTTTTTGAGTGATGGTCACTCCTTGGGTTAGTAGGTGTCTTGTGTCCAAATTTGGCGGCACTTCCCCCAGTGGTTTTTGAGTTCTGTTAATCCCACAAACGAACATTACATTTTTATTTATATAGATTTTGGTGTCAGGAGCAAGTCGTTTCCGGTGTGAAAGAATTGGCCATCTGCAAGGACGTTGCCCAGGGAACACCAGAATGTTTTGATGTTTTACCAACCTTGTGGGAGGCATCTCTCATGTCACCGCATGGGGAGCTGGAGCTGACAGAGGGAGCTCATTCGCGCTCTCCCTAGATTCGAACCTCTAACCTGGTTTAACCCATTGCGGGAATTGTGAGAGTTGAAGTCCAAAACACCTGGAGGGCCCAAGTTTGCTAGGCCTGCTGTAACCTTGTTGTTGTTCATTCGTTCAGTCGTCTCCGACTCTTCGTGACCTCATGGACCAGCCCACGCCAGAGCTCCCTGTTGGCCGTCACCACCCCCAGCTCCCTCAAGGTCAGTCCAGTCACTTCAAGGATGCCATCCATCCATCTTGCCCTTGGTCGGCCCCTCTTCCTTTTGCCTTCCACTTTCCCCAGCATAATTGTCTTCTCTAGGCTTTGCTGTCTCCTCATGATGTGGCCAAAGTACTTCAACTTTGTCTCTAGTATCCTTCCCTCCAATGAGCAGTTGGGCTTTATTTCCTGGAGGATGGACTGGTTGGATCTTCTCGCAGTCCAAGGCACTCTCAGCACTTTCCTCCAACACCACAGCACAAAAGCATCTATCTTCCTTCGCTCAGCCTTCCCTAAGGTCCAGCTCTCACATCCGTAGGTTACTACAGGGAATACCATGGCTTTGACTAGGCAGATCTTTGTTGCCAGTCTGATGTCTCTACTCTTTACTATTTTATCGAGACTGGACATTGCTCTCCTCCCAAGAAGTAAGCGTCTTCTGATTTCCTGGCCACAGTCTGCATCTGCAGTCATCTTTGCACCTAGAAATACAAAGTCTGTCACGGCCTCCACATTTTCTCCCTCTATTTCCCAGTTGTCAATCATTCTTGTTGCCATAATCTTGGTTTTTTTGATGTTTAGCTGCAACCCGGCTTTTGCGCTTTCTTCTTTCACCTTGATTAGAAGGCTCCTCAGCTCCTCCTCGCTTTCGGCCATCAGAGTGGTGTCATCTGCATATCTGAGGTTGTTAATGTTTCTTCCAGCAATTTTCACCCCAGCTTTGCATTCATCCAGCCCCACACATCGCATGATGTGTTCTGCATACAAGTTAAAAAGGTTGGGTGAGAGGATGCAGCCTTGCCGTACGCCTTTCCCAATCTTGAACCAGTCTGTTGTTCCGTGGTCAGTTCTTACTGTTGCTACTTGGTCCTTGTACAGATTCCTCAGGAGAGAGACAAGGTGGCTTGGGATGCCCATCCCACTAAGAACTTGCCACAATTTATTATGATCCACACAGTCAAAGGCTTTAGACTAGTCAATGAAGCAGAAGTAGATGTTTTTCTGAAACTCCCTGCCTTTCTCCATTATCCAGCGGATATTGGCAATCTGGTCTCTCGTTCCTCTGCCTTAACCTTATGCAGTGCCAAACTTCGCAGCTCTCGTTGGGTTGTTCTCGCGATACCAGCCCCTTCTCTTTCTCTCTCTCTCTGTATGTATTCTCTCCCCACCCTCGCTCGGGAGGCAGTCTCGCGCTTCCCTCCCGTTTGGAGTTCTCGCGAGAGGCGGTTGCCTTGGCTCCCCGTAGCTATAGCAGCGGGAAGGAGGGAGGCGGGGGAGCGCAGGAGGATGCACCGCGATGCTCTGGCGAGGCGTTCCTGAGGGGAACGGGTGAGTCGCGCGGCTTCGGGCCGGGCAGCGCTTGGGGTTGGGCCCACCCTCGAAGCGGGGCGCTTGGGGCCCTTCCCCGCGGTCAGTCTGAGGAGGGCGCCAGGGCCGCCGTGGGTGCTTCCCTCTGCGGCCTTTGGGGGGCGAGGGGAGGGGCACGGACTGAGGGGACTCCCTTCCCGCCTCTCGCTGGCATTCATTCATGTTCCCTCCTTTCCTCTCTCTCTCTCTCTCTCGCTTCAAGTCTATCCTCCATCTGCCCGCCACTGAAGTAGAACCTGTCCTCAGTTTTGATTTCTGATTGGAACCTAATTGGGAGTTTTGGGACCTGTAACCAGGCCTGTAGCCAAGGGGGCTGTTTAGGGGTTCAAACCACCCCCGAAATTTTTCAGGTCAATCCTCCCCCTAATCCCCCCCCCCCCAATGTTTACTTCTGAATTTAGACTGGTTAACTAAATCCCCCTGCCAAGTATATGAGAAGCAAAAATTACAATCTCTCCAGAATTACAAGCAGGATCTCAACCCATTTGAGATTATTCACACTATCTTTATTTATTTATTTATTTATTTACTTAATTACTATATTTGTATACCGCTCTTCTCAGTCCTCAGGGCGACTCAGAGCGGGTAACAAAGCAAATACAATGCTTAAACATGATAAAACAGTTAAAAACAAGTTAAAAGAATAACATTATAACAATCAATAAACATCATATCCTCCATTACCTGCCTGAACCTCCTTCTAGACACACCACACTGCTTATCTCACCTAAAGTTTTTTAAACATTTTAATCTTTGCAACCAGCCCTGCCCATCGTGATTGAGTATAGTGATTTTATATTGTACTAGTGGTCCCGTGCCACGCGTTGCTGTGGCCCAGTCTGGTGATCTGGAAAGTAAAGAGAAAGTGTTGGTTTCTAATATATGTAATGTCTTTCTGCTTGTGGGTAAACAGTATTTCTTGCTGTTTCTTTGCTAGTGTTGATGTGGAGAGTGCCTGGTTTGCCTACTCTGGAACACGCAACATATCATTGTCATTCTTTAGGAATCCCTTTCAGATCTTTGATATTGCATCTGTCATATACATATGTATGTGTGAATGGCTGGATGGCCCTTTGTCAAGAGGGCTTTGATTATGTTTCCTTGCCCGGTGAAGCGAGTTGGATTGGATGGTTGGACTGGGGGGTCACCAGGGGGGTGTCAGAACAGTCACCAAAGACCACCAGAAAACGCAGAGCTTTCTGTTGGTCATGGGGGTTCTGTGTGGGATGTTTGCCCCAATTCCATCTTTGGTGGGGTTCGGAATGCTCTTTGATTGTAGGTAAACTATACATCCTAGTAACTGCAACTCCCAAATGTCAAGGTCTATTTTCCCTAAACTCCATCTGTGTTCACATTTGGGCATATTGAGTATTCCTGTCAAGTTTGGTCCAGATCCTTCATTGTTTGAGTCCACAGTGTCCTCTGGATGGAGGTCAACTTCAATTCCAAAATTCAAGGTCAATGCCCACCAAACACTTTCAGTATTTTCTGTTGATCAGAGGAGTTCTGTGTGCCAAGTTTGGTTCAATTCCATTGTTGGTGGAGTTTAGAATGCTCTTTGATTATAGGTGAACTATAAATCCCAGTAATTACAACTCCTAAATGACAAAATCATAATTTTTGAGTGATGGTCACTCCTTGTGTAGTGAGACATTTTGTTGCCAAATTTGGTGTGATTTCGTTCATTGGTTCTTTTGTTTTTAAGGTATTCATTATGCATAGAGCACACACACACAGACATATGTGTGTGTGTGTGTATGTATGTGTGTGTGTGTGTCTGTGTGTGTGTGTATATATATTGTGTGTGTTTATTTTGTATTGCTTTTTATTATTTTCATTTTATTTTATTGATGTATTATTTTATGTTTGTTTTGCTTTGATATAATTATTGGGCTTGGCCTCATATAAGCCTCCCTGAGTCCCCTTGGAGAGATGGTGGCAGGGTATAAAATTATTATTATTATTATTATTATTATTATTATTATTATTATTATTATCTTTATACCAATTTACATTGCAATAGCTGCAATAGTGGAAGTTGCCAAAATGTGGTAGGCAGCAGGCAAAGCCTAAGGTGCTGGACGGTGGGTGGGTGGGGGAATTTGACCTGGATTGCAAATGAAAACTGAGGAAACAGGTGTCTACCACTGGTTCATCTAATCCAGCAGTTCTCAACCTGTGGGTCCCCTGATGTTTTGGCCCACAACTCCCAGAAACCCCAGCCAGTTTACCAGCTGTTAGTTTTTCTGGAAGTGGAAGGCCAAAACATCTGGGGACCCACAGGTTGAGAACCACTGATCTAATCCAAGCCCCACCGAAGAAACAATGGAACAGGAGCAAAGAGAATTTTATTTTTATTGTGTCTGAAGCAAATTGTGTGTACAGTTAAAATATATTTAAAACACAAACAAAGTTAAAAACTTGACATTATACTAAATATCCTTTGACCAGAAGCTGGCTACTTGAAGTGCCTCTACTGTCTCTGTGAGAAGGTCCTCCATTGTGCATGTAGAAGGGCTCAGGTTGCATTGTAGTAGGCGGTCTGTGGTTTGCTCTCCTCCACACTTGCATGTTGTGGACTCCACTTTGTAGTCCCATTTCTTAAAGTTAGCTCCGCATTTCGTGGTGCCAGAGCACAGCCTGTTCAGTGTCTTCCAACTTGCCCAGTATTCTGTGTGTGTGTGTGTTTTTTTGCCCCTACCACTGATTGATGTTCCTGGTTTTAGCCTGTCACTTTTGGATTCTCGCTTGAAGTGTTCTTGCCAGTATCTCTGTAGATCTTAGGAAGCTGTTTCTTGATTTAAGGCGTTGGGTTGGTGGCTGATATCCAAACAGAGGATGGGCTCTCAATTATTTCTTTCAGTAATGAAAGCAAAGAGAAGAAACTGTGTCATTGGACTTTAAATGAACAAGACTGTTTCTGATGACCAAGTGAAGCCTCAGTTAGTGCAAGATCCATAGACTCCATTGCCAGGATATGTATTTCCTGCGGATAAGAAGAGGCATCTAAGTTTTTAGCCCAAATGGTTCATTAGATTTCACTTGTTAGCCTATTCATTTCATGTCCAAGATGCACTCTGTGTAAGTATGGTGTGGTGTTTGAGGACTTGGGGGTAAAGATGGTTATCAGAAGCTTTGTACATTGGTTGCTAAACCTTTTGTGTGATGGAAAAATGTAATAGAAGTCTTCTGTGGACACCAAAACACAGAGTACCATCAGAACAACTTGTGCTTGACTGAAAACATCTTGCTAATTCACAATGAAAAACATCTTGATGATAAAGAAATAAGAATAAAGCAAAAGAGAACAGAAATAAACTTCTGCAAATTATGGAAAGTGTTGTTCTTTGTAGCTGACAAGAAGTGCCTTAAAGAGGGAGCAATGATTCAGGATCTATTACCTGTGAAGAACCTCTACACAATGACGATAATTCCAGTGCCTTGTTGAAATCTCATGCCAGATCAGGAGACACTGGCCTGAAAGGTCATTGGGGGGAGGGGGGTTTCAGCTCTCCCAATCTTTTTTTCTGGCTATGGCCCTGCCTGTAACTGTGTTAAATTGAAAGAGCAATGCAGTCAAGGGCTTTGATTGATGAGCAGCAGTGGTTCTCAACCTGTGGATCACCCCCAAGCTGCATACCTGTGTCTTCAGGGAGAGTGTAACCCCATCCAGCACAGGTTGTATCCCTATACCCCAATTGGCCTTACAAGTAATTAAGACTTATATTTCAAATGTAATTTCTGTAGTTTATTGTACAACGAATATGTCCAAGGGGAAAAGGTGGAGGTGGGAGTGGGGTAAAACAATAAAATAAAATAATGTTTTAAAAGAGCTTTGATTAATAAATTACAAATTACCTTTACACTGATCCTTATTGTCCTAGTATTTCTTTAACCAGGGGCAGAAAAAAAAACATTTTCAGGTGGCAAGTATATGCCTGTGAGGATAGAGCGCATTTGTTAGTATGTTAAGGTCTTCAGCTGGTCCAAAGTGCTACAGCCAGGGGGCTAACTAGGATTGGCTGCAGGGAGCGGACAACCTCCCTGTTGCATCAACTCCACTGGCTGTCCCTTGGTTTACAGACACAATTCAAAGTATTGGTTATGACCTTTTAAGCCCTAGATGGGTCAGGTTCAAGGTATTTTGCTGACCCCATCCCCTTGTACGAACCTGCCCAGGCTCTGAGATCTTCAGGAGGGGCCCTTCTCTCGGTCCCACCTCCTTCTCAAACTTGGTTGCTTGGAACAAGAGGCAGATTTCTCTCACTTCCTGTTGTTCTTGGTGGCTGCCCATTGACTCTGGATCTCCTTTCTTCCCATGAAAGCCAGAATGGCTCCCTCCCTGTTGTCCTTCCAGCGGCAGGCTAAACCCTTTTTATTCAGACAGGTTTTTAAAGGTGAAGGTGTTGTAAGATCTAATCAGGGGGTGCTGTGGTTTTTAACTTGAATATGTTTTGATATATTTTAACTGAATATTTTTAGTGCTGTTTGTTTTTAAGTCTGTTTTAATGTTTGTATATTTGTATATTTTAAATTGTATACTAATACTTTTATATCATGCTGCTTTGAGTCCCCTTTGGCAAGATAAAGTGTGGTATAAATTTATTTTGGGTAATGAAGTTGAAAAAAAGACTTGATATTACAGAGGCTTCTTAAGTAGGAGATGCTTTAACCTTACAACTTTTATAGGGAAATTGTGATTGACAAGCCTTTTTATTCAGGCAGGCTTTTAAAGATGTAGCTGCTTAATCGGGGAGTGGTGTATTTTTTAATTCAGGAGGTTCTGTGGGTGAGATTGGAGGGAATATGAGTTTTAAATGTTATTTTAGTATTTCTACTATATTTTAATTTTGTTTTTAACCACACTTCTACTATTTAATTGCTTTTTAACTTTTATATTTTACCTTTTACAATTGCCTAGTGTGGAGTGTTAGTTGCCTGAGTCCCCACAGGGAGAAAGG